AGATACAAATAGCCGTACAAAAGTTTGAGTTTTCCATAGGTTTGTGCACAAACATGGATGCGCCCATCAGCCATCACTTTGTACATCGAGTCAGCACTCTAGTAATTCAGTGTAGCTCTATGGCAGTAATGTAGTTTCTTCCTAATTGCTTCTTGAAATACGTGTTTTTGTGTTTGTGCATTGGTCATGTATTTTTGTAATACAGAGGATTTCATGTGGAAAATGTTGTTGCATTTTACCTGAATGCTATTAAAATGCATGTACATGTACATTTCCAGGTTTTGTTTATGCACTTGGAAACATGCCCAATTGCCTGAGAATTGCAATATGAAATTTTGGAACAAAAAGTAATCTTTTTAACAATAATTTTCTTTGCATTTCTGCCTGTACACAGACCCTGGAAATCAACGCCACAATTAATGCCCCTCCCCAGAAAGAACCGCACCGGCAGCAACCCCGTCAGTTCAGTCTTCAGCACACGACGCAACAAAGTCACCCAACCTACCTTAGACCTTCAGCACCGCAGGCAATATCGACACCTCGGACTCATGATGTGGTCAATTCCACGCTGGTGTAACAAGCCATTAAGCCTCAGGCATGTGCACTGGCTCTTCATGAGCCCAGTCTCTTAAACATCTCACCCATAGATTGTGTCAGCTGATGGTATTGTACAAATTGCAACATGATCAGAGAAATAGTAGTGGCAAGTTACACTGAGTGAGAGGAGGTAGTGTGAAATCACTGGTGCCAAGGTGGGCTGATGTGGACTACCATACCTCCTAACGTGGACAAGTAATACACTACTTACCCGAAATGAACCATGTTGTATTTGTTCTGTTACACCCATACATAATTCGTTAGTTCCATTGGAAGAAATTCATTGGAATTCCATGGAACATCCCTCCCATGAAATGCGTATATACTGTCATTCTTGAAGGTTGCAGTGTGGTACCACTAGCAACCCGACTTGCATGTGCAATTGTTGCATAGCTCAGGGTTTCAGAGCTAATTATGGGGTACTTCTGTCCTGGTAGCACTGACTGGTTTACGTGCCTCATGCGTGTGCCGTGTGTGCAGGGTAGCTGCTTTTGCTTCCCAGACAAACCTATGCAAGTATGAATAATGCTTTAAGCTTCACTTGTTGTTACTGTACTACCGCCTATTGTCCAAAAGACTAGTCCATGACCCAAAGTGCTAAAAGCACAGCAACTAAAGAACTACATCACTGCAACTGGAGGTCTGTGTTGATGTGGGTGCTCTTGCAGACCATTTCTTGATAGCGCAACACCAGTGTGAACATTTTGTCAAGGGGAAGATTGCAGAAGTGCAATAACAAGTGAATTTCAGTACACACAAATTGAATAAATATTGTCTTGCATTAGGAGTATATAATCAGCTGTCCGGTGTATCTGTAGGTGAGGTGTTTATACAAAGTAAATATTGACTGTTCTAACGTGTGGTACAGTAAAAAGAGTTTCACTTAGTGATCCGTGGAGTGCTATATTTTCCCTCCACTCTTCCTTGAGAATATACTTACAATATGGTATGGATCACCTTGCAATGGTATCGTTTGATTGTACCACTCATTGCAGTCAATATTAGCATACATTGTACTTAAAAGGCAGTGGTGTAGTCAAGTACATTTCCATGAGTACGAAATGTACTGGAGTATGAGTATGAGTACTGCAACACTGCTAGAAGGCATATGAAGTGTGACTCATGAGAATGTGGAGGTGCACATTGATCTATGCAAGACAAAGCTTTGCTTACTGCATTTATTCTAGCTTTATATGAACATCTTCCATATGCCCAGTGACATCTGAAACATTTTTGTCATTGACCTGACCAATCACATTGCTTTATGACTATAACAATGAACAAGTAAGGGCGTTGTTTTCTTCTCTTGCTTTTGCAAAGTTTAAGGAAAACAAGACAAGTCCCTGCATGCTTGATTGATGCGGCATGATTGTCAACATCTGACATGGTTTCTGCACATCCACGTACTCTGGTTCATATTTAACTTATGTAACTTCTTGGAAGCTTCCATCCTATTGTTCATTTGTGTCTCGGTAAACAGTCAAAATGTGGTATTAAGCGCATTCAGTTTTGCTGTTGAACCACTGTTATTAACACATTGAACCCAACTTTTTCAACAACTCAGAATATAGTATAGGTAGATTTTTCTTTAGGACATTAATATCCATGATATATATACGTATATATTTTTAAGAAGGGGCTAAAGTCCAGCACTTTTTGAGTGAGAAAGCTAGAATTGTTTTGCTTGTATCCTATTGTGTATAGCTATCCCGAGATAAGTTGTGTCTAGTTTCTGTGCTGTTATAGTTTGGTTTTCGTATATGGCACATGATGTAGGGTTTGATATTTACTTTGCTAGCTTGTGATTTGCAACTTTGCCACAAACATTTAAGATAAATATAAAGATCATAAAATGATCACTTTTTTGTTATTAATTTCATTAATCAGAAATACAGGTGGAATGTAGGTTAGCTATACACATCAATCATATTGACAAATATGTTGGTTTGTATAAAAAAAAAAGGCCTCCTGTTTAAACGATATACTTAAAGTCTTTATTAGTTTAATTGTGTTGGACAATATATTTCAAATGATGTTTATTATATAAAAAAGTGATCACATAGGGAAATGGTTTCAGTAAATTATGTTTAAAAGAAATCATTTCTGCTATGCAAAATGTAAAAAAAGGTTTAAATATTGTATGGTTTTACTTGTTTATGTATATTCATTTACTTTTACAAAATTGTGCAATTTATGAATTAATAACTGAGCTTTCAGACATTTGAGATGGAAAAAGTCAACATTGATACTAAAGGACCTAAGACAAGAAATGGGAAAATGGGGGGGGGGGGCGGAGCGTTTGTTGAATTCTTTATTTCAGTTATGCTGGTAGCTTTATTTATTTGACATGGTCCTACAGAAACTGCAATTGTTGCAATAAAGTAGTCCAAGTTATTCTTTTGCTAACTGCGAAAACTGTAAACTAATGAATGTACACATGTTTTTGTGAGAATAGATGTGGTTTATTGTAACAATGTATGGTTATATTTTGTACAAATTATCCTACTTCCCATGCATGGATGCTGTGATTATGTTCAGTAATTTAGTTGTTTTAAGTCTATTTTCTTCGGTCAAGATAGAGGTTCTGAGTACAAACAATGTGCTTTTTAAAAATGAACGAGTGATTGTTTGAATTATTGTCTGGTACAATTTATGTTGCACATTGTGACTTGCTTTTCACAGAGTGCATGTACATGTAATATATGAATTCTGTAACGTATGTACTACTAGTATGTTATGTCCAGTGGCCCTAAGAGTGAAATAACATTATGTGAGACTTGCACTTGTGCGTTTAATATCTCCATTATTTAAGTTGTCATTGAGACTCAACTAGAAAAGACTCGAGTTGAAATCGTAATCTTTTCAATGAGGGAATAAATGTGTGTGCTTGTTGGTCGATATTAAACACTGTTCAACACCGGCTTGGAGTCTGGATGATGATACTGACCGGAGCCAAAGGCAAGGGTCGTTATCAGCATCCAGACTCAACCGGTCTTAAACAAAGTGTAGAATACCGGCCAAGCACATATTTATTTCCATTCATAAATACCTCTTCGGTCAAAAAATCTAAACTTTTGGTCCAAAAGTCAAAGGAAGTTAAAACTTATAGATTTCTTACAATTTTGTTCAACAATTTTACTACACTTTTTTTTCTCGAAACGCCCATCTAGCTATTTCATGTTATGTCCCTTTACATGGGTCAACTGTCGTAGGTCAACCAGCCCTAGTGTCAACATATCTAAACTCAACTTTGATTGGCTGGCCCGTGGGGTCGCATACAATTTGCATGTTCGGATATATCAGACATTCGTAGTGAGGCTCTGTAAACATGATCGTTTGATCCTCGGACTACCCAGGAGGCTAGTTTTACCACTCAACTTGAAGCAGCTGATATTTGTATAATTAAGAGCTCAATGGTAGTTGCCCCAGTCTAGTCTTGGGAAGGTCTATGTACATTGTTTCAAGTTGAAGCTCATGAGATTGATCAGTTGACATTCATGACATTGAATTGTATAGATTAGGGATAGGCAATGTGGCAATATTTATGAGGTTGGTACCTAGACAGGCTTGTAGGGGCATCAAGGTCTGCATATGCAAACCGCCCCCCCCCCCCCCACACACACACACAAAGAAATAAAATCCACATTTTTGCTGAATATTTTTGTGAAGTAATTTGGCTCATCTATTACTTTCACCACTGCCTTTAAAAGATTACCTGCAACCATGATGCTTCAACTGAATAAAAATGACATAATAGTGCCATCCAGAGACTAATGTAATCAAGCCCCCCCCCCCTTCCTTGAGTTTGTCAAACTGCAAGTCTTACCCAATTATATGTTGGTCTGGTGTCTTTACCCCCCCCCCCCCCCTCGTGCATACATGCCTGGTATTGGCTCAACTGTGGCTTCTATTAGTGATTTCTTGATTGGTCAAAACATTCAACACGGTGGCACTGTGTGTAACAAACTAACAGACATGTATGTTGTACATATGTGCTTATCTTCAACCAAATTTGAATTCTTATACTGATAGGTTGATACATGAAACAGGCATGCAACTCAAAATTTACAAGAAAAGGAGGAAATTCCAAACCACACAAGCCTTTGTACAGTATTTTTCAAAAATTGTAATGGCATTCATGAGAAGAAAAGAAAGAAGGAAATCAGCAGATCCAAGGAAAAATTGCATGCCTGATGGCAACAACAGTGTTATTATCCCATAATGGGCCACACTGCACCACACAACGCAAGACGCTTGCTGCACGTACGTATGTGGTAGATGAAAGCTGAAACGTGACGACAGCGTGCACGTAACTGTGCATGAAGTGTGCTGGAAGATGAATTGTTAAACCCACTCACACTCATGGAACACACAAAATAAAGCGCTTGAATGCCAATCACAAATTTGTTCTGAAAGCTTGCATAGATCCTTTTAATATTCTACATTTAATTCCAAAATCCTTCACCATAAAAATAAAGTCCTTAAAATAGCCAACTTATTTTAAAAAGTATTTCACTGCAAAAATTCCAAAAGATATTAACAGTTGCATAAAATAATCTCTCTGTTCAATCCTTACTGCCAAGCATATCAATAGGGCTCACTCAATGACGGTCATCTCTTGATTGCTTATTTTACGCAATCAAGCACGCATTGCGCAGTGTTAAAAATGTTCCAAACACACGCGCTTCTTGCTTGAAATGTGTTTGAAATACGACACAGCCGATGTGCGTTATTCAGTTGATGCTCAAAATGTTGATGCATGTGGCTGGTCTGTAGGAAATGACGTCATTTGAATGAGACCTATTGATATTGGACACCAATATAAGATTGTATGGTAGAATACATGTGACTTCATTGCATACACTACTTTGTACATCTCTCCTACATTAGAACAACATGCAGGACATGACCCCAATACATGTACTTTTTGTGCATAGTTAATTGGAATAACAAGCTTGACACAAATGTTTGGAACAACAAATGGGTATTGAAGGACAACTTGCAAACTAGATGGTGAGAAGAGGGCACTATTTACCATTCTGAAATGAACAGGACTGTTCATGTAGTCATCGAGGACAAAACGTGGACATCTGCGTTTCTGCTGTCAGAATAGCAGATTGAGTATTTTTTGAATGGTTCATTTTGTTCTGCTTTCCCGCCTTTGTGCTACCATAAATGCAGAATTTACTGTTTAATAAAATCCACTGTAGTGCTTTTATGCTACCTGAAATGCAGATTTTGCTTTTCCTCCCTTGCTGGAGGGAGAAAAAGTGGACATCTGCTTTTCTCTTGTTCAAAAATCAGATCAAACCGTTTCTGACGTTTCCATTTCCTGCTTTTGTGCTACCCAAAATGTATATTTTTGTTTTTTGCTTTTCTCATTTCTTAGAACCAGAAAAGCAAAACGAACCTTTGGTAACTACCATTTGTATTCTGCTTTTGGTTAAAAGGAAAATGAAACGGTGCTTCTGAGAAAAATAAGCACCGTTTCATTTTTCTTTGAGTGTAGGTTAACAGGGTTTTTTAGGCGTTCCCCCTTAAAGAGCTTCCACATCACAAAGTTACAAAATGAAAAATGTATTGTCGGAAAATGGCCATACTTCTGTTATCTGCTCTTCTGACAGCAGAAAAGCGATGTCCACTTTGTGTCCTCCTTGGGCCTTACCATAGTGTACCCAAAGTATCGCATTTGAGAAGTCTTTGCTGTGCGCAGTAAACCCATATGTGAGCTGCACAAGCATTACTTCAATAACATCTGAACATACTGGCATGCAATTTCAGTAGTTATTGCCTCCATTTTAAACAGATTCAATTTCAAAACATTGACTATTTTGGCAGTATACATTGCCCCCACAATATAATGGAGCCTTTTCATGTCAAGGTTCCTGTGAGATAACAAATACAACAAACTCTCTCCAGTTTTAAGTAACCAAAGTAACTGTACATGTGGGCATTGTTATGTTAGTACTGTTACTATTCTACGCAGAACAACCGGCCATTCGTACTAAAGTGACAAAGTGACATCAGTTCTCACGTAGCACATGAACAAAAAGGAGCCTTTTTCTCTAAATGTTTGAAATCGTTCACAAGAACAGCGAATACAGCAGCTGAACTATCAGCATGCTAGCATCGGTGGATTTATAGGATCTCCTCCAACTGTTTCTAATCTTAAGTTGTCAGACAAGTCAATTATTAATAACATCAGACATACATGCACTGTTCTTGTGAATATCAGATTTTTGACCCAGGGTGGCAAAAAGGTTCACTTTTTCTATTCACTTGGCACAATAAAATGTTTATGCATAGGCCTTGGTGGGAAAGACAATAGCAACGAAGTCCTATGTCCAATTTGATTGAAAGTTTGATAAGGTTTCCCTGTATTCTCAAGATGTACAGTATCCACTCAGCTATAACTTCAACAGGTAAGTTGTTATGGATCTAACTTAAGATTTGGAGCAATTTTGTTTTTGCTTCAAAAAAAAAAACCCAAAAGGCACAAATATCACAAGATCCTATGCATCTTCAAACAGAGAATGAGGCTTCCCAAAGTTATAAGTCATTTGATCAAATGTGGAGACACAGTGAGGGGTGATTGTGTGTATTACTAGAGATTCCTGAGGTCTGTTTCCACGCCATAGATCAGAGCCTTGAGTTGAAGTAGCTCACTCTGCATCTTCTTTGATCTCTTAGCTGTCTGATGAATATTATGCAGCATGAACATATCACCATCTTCCCCAACACCCACTGTCACCTGTTCAGCATGGCAACAAAACAAGAAGGGTTTACATTACAAAGCACTGACAATGATCCAGGGCTAGGGATGTAGTTGATTCCATTCACAAGTCCACCACAAGTCCAGACACAAGTAATTCGTGAGTCCATCACAAGTCCAGGCACAAGATACACTGGATGCCTTTGTCAAAGCTCATTTGAATAGCTTGTGAGTTAAATTGGTGTTGGAGGACTTGTGGTGGACTTGCAGGGACTAGTGATGGACTCGACTACATCCCTGCAATGATGTCCTTGCAATCTTGATTTCAGTGACAACATCATTATGGACTAAGATGACATAACATCTCACTAACAGAATCTGCTTCTTGATTTAGTCAAGAGCACGTTTCATGGAATGCACCATTTTACTTTATATAATCGACATACAGATCGTTGTCATTTGATTGGTGGAACTCACATCATGTGGCATTCGTTATTGCTCCCATTCACGCCGGGGCTCAAAAAGTCCCATTCGCCTATGGGGAATGGGAAATACTATTGAACAGTTAGGATCATTCTTGTTCCATGACGCAGTTGTATGCAAATGCATGCTGGTGTGCGCGTTTAGCATTGCACGTAGCCAGCGTTGGGTTCAAACATTTTCGTGAAGGGGTGGTTTGGAAGAGAAAAATACATTTTCAACCAATTTTATATTGAAATAAAAGTTCAAATATCAAATGACAAGGATCTATGTGTCAGTTATATAAAACAAATATAAAAGTTCGACATGTTTTTGTACATGGTGGAAGTGTGGCCTTTATTTATGGAGGTAGTCCAGTAAAATGGCCACATATGGGGCTAAGCATGACCCAGCCTTTGGGGTACTTGTTCGCAGTGTCCGCACCACGATCTGCATGAACTGCACTATAGCTGACCAACATAGGAAAGTAGAAAACAGCAACGGACAAATGCAAACTAACAACATGACTGACATGAACAGACAATACTCCACCTTGTAGAGTTGCTTCTCAACATCCTTGAGTTGGTTTCTCAAGATTCGGGTATCATTCTTGAAACCTTCTATCTCCAGATTCCGTCGCTTCTCCATGGCCTCATACCGCTGGTTCATCAGGTGTAAACGCTTAGCAAGCTTTTCCGTCTTATCCTGTGGATAAATAACCACAAGAATGAATGGTACTAGAAACAGGTTTCGGCAATAGATCAGAAATGGCTTAAACTTTGCATGAGCAGTTGGTACTGTTTGAATATCAGAGTTTATTTTGTTCACTTTTCGATAGCAATCAGAACAATCCACTGAAGGGAATTTGAAGTCGGAATTCTATTTTTGATACATTTTGGTACCAACAAAATAGGATTACATAATAATCCTGTTTTAATCCTAAAAATGTGATAAATAGTGATATGACAGTATTCTACCAATACACACACACAAATATGTACTCATGCCATCAGTTTCTGTCATAAGTAAGTATAGGTCATGAAAAACTGACTGGACCTTTTTTTTTACGTTTTGCGTAATTTGTTTCGCTTCAGTGACTTCTAATATTTCAGCCTTCGAAAATGTCCTTCCGTTACCGAAAAAATACATATTTTTAATTTATTTTCAAAACTTGCAGTATGAATGCAATGAAAGTTATTGTGCAAAGCAAGTTTAGGTAGGCCTTCAATATGACATTATAACTGACACTGCTGTACGTATCGTTTTTTAATTACAATTAATTAAATCCCGTCCTTCCGTTACCAAATTGGTAACGGAAGGACGGTAACGGAAGGACAAATGTTATTTTTATCAAATGTAACGACATTTGTGCTCATGTTTGAAAAATGAAAATCACTGCAACTACATGCATGTATAATGCGCATTGAAAGGACATTCATGTGACCCACCTTCACAAAGCTGGTATGAGCAGGGCAAGGTGTTCATTACAAAGGATGGCACAGGCATATGTATAACATGTACATGTACAATGTACATGTATGACAATGTACCGGTACTCATACATGTATGGAGTTGTTGCAGAAAATCAAATCATTAAGTTGCTGCTATCACCATTCATGGACAATAGAGAAAGATACAATTTCTGTGAAGCCATTCCAGAAGCAAATTAAGTAAAAAATGAGATGGCAGAAAGTACCAGTGCTATTGGGCACTTTCATACAATTTACATGTGTAAGACATGTGAGGTGCAATTTTTGACAAATTAAGTTAACAACTTCAGGCTGGATGTTTATAAGATAATTATTGTTAATACTCTAAATCATTAAAATTTGATTTCAAACACTGAATTTAGAGTTCAATTAAAAGCAACACCTAAAACATTTTTTAAAGCACAATGATTCTGAAGCCATCAGTTCTACCTGTAGATGTTTTTAATGTACATGTAAGCTGGTCGCCCCTGCCCCCCCCCCCCCCCCCCCCTTTAGGTAAACCACTGAACCTACTGGTGTTATTATTAAAAGTTGTTGGTGAACATGTAACAAATATACTCAAGTGCTCAAATACTGTGTATTTAAAACTTTTAAGGATTAAGGTGATGGGTTTGAAGTCCATTTCTGTAGTTGTCTTGTGTTCGTGAATTATGTGTTTTTGGTTGTTTTCATTTTTCATTTGTTATCATTAATTAGCAGGCTTCTATCTTTATCTCAATAGTTTCTTGGGTATAATTATTTATGCCAGGTCTGCATATTGTTGATTTCACATTCAGTTACACATTTCAGCAATTTATTTCACTTGTATAATTAGTGTAAATTCACATTTTATTCATGCTATAATTGAGTAAACCTTTTGTCCTTCCGTTACCGTCCTTCCGCTACCAAATTATAATCCACTTAAGACATTGTAATTATATCACCGAAACACTTAAAGTCAAATGAAAGGTGGTATAGTATAGATAAAGCCGCAGGGATTCCATTTCCTACCTTTGAAATATAATTGCCCCATAAAATTCACAGAGTTTATGCAAAACGCGTGTAAGTTGGAAAACCCTCGTCCGTTTTACCGTCCTTCCGTTACCGACCTCATTAATATTCATAATTCATTAACGAGAGGTATGCATGCCCCCAAAAGTGTGGAAATTGAAGGTAGCATTATAGCAATACCATTGTGACATTTGCTTGCTGTAACTAATAACAGTGGCTGTGATAGGCACATTTGAAATTTTGTTTAATGAGCGAAAACGTCCTTCCGTTACCGTGGAATTGCCCAAAAGCAGTAAAAAATTCTGAGCTCTCCATAGGTTTGTGCACAAAAATGGACGCACCCAGCAGTGTACATTCTGTACAGTAAGTTAAGTCTCTAGTCATTTTAAGCTACAGTCCATCATTTGCAGCTATCCAAAAAGTAACTGATGTAATTATCGTTGAAAAACATACTTGGTTGGTTGACAGTACTAAATTCTCTCTGAAATTATTCTTTCTGACATGCTGTCGTTTTGAAGAAATCAACAAAAGAAGGTCTTCAGACGCATCGTTGGAAATTTCTGTTAGTAGTTCGCTTTTTTATTTGGCGAAGCACGCACAAGCGTTGACACGATGCAAACGTGCGCGCAGTTGCCTTAATTCATCGTATCAGTGCATGACACCGCGTAGCTGCAATCGGCTCAATGAGAATGTGTCTCAATTCAGGCCCAATTCAAAACATGATTCAGCAACATGATTCAGCAACTTTTATTTGAAATCGAGATCCGCAGGCCCGGTTCTGTGTTTTTTTTGTCCCGTTCTGTTCACAAACTCATCTATGTTTCAAGTCACAGACCATACAGGGATGAAACTGGCCTATGGGGAAAAAATCTGAAAATAGGCCGGCCAAAATTCTGTGTCCGAAATCTGGGCTGCGCCGCAAGTACACATACGTACTATATGTACAATAAACTTCGTGTTCAATTTCTGGACATCGCCTCCTTTTTTTCTTTTACATGTACATGTAGATCCAAATGAAATTTTACGATGTGAAAAATGTTCAGTGTTTCCATAAGATTAAAAAGCCCGAATTAGGGTTGGAGTTTCTGACTCGTAATTAAAGAAATTCACATCTTACTTGAGACACGGAGAAAGTCAAGGAAAAAGTCCAAGACAACAAGTCCACTAACGCATGGTAGGTGGAACTGGAAAAAGTTTGGCATTAGGCCTGCCGTCTTTTTCGTACAACAACTGCCGGTGAAATTTGTCTTCTATGCTCTCCTCGCCTTCCTCAAGATTTTGCATGGAAGAGATCGTCAGACTAAAACCACCACGTTGCAATCATTCAGTATCATTTGTACAACACTGAATAAAGTAGATCTGCCAAAGTCCAAAATGCTCCTTATGTGCGATTACCCCAATAGTTTGATTGCAGCTTTTGAGGGGGCCATTCAGTTGTGACTTTGTAACAAGATTCTTTTGTTTTGCTAACTTTTGAAAAAAAAATGATTTCTGAATGGAAAAGTTAGTTCTTTTTTTAAAGCAATTCAAACGAATTTGCTTGAAAATGATCATTATTGTATTGTATTTAACTTGAAATGATTTCTTTGTGCAGGAAGCTTCTCTATAATGCCCACCTCAATTTCCAAGTTCTGTGTTTGTCTCTCTTCCAGTGCATGATCTGAGATGACTAAGACGTCATCTTTGGAGACATCTAGTTGTTCCTTACATCGATCCAGCTCCTGTAGTAGACGGTCCTTCTCTGCCATCCAGACTCGCTCCTGAGATCGTCCTTCATACTTCAGCTCTAGATAGTCCTTAGTGCTGTCATACAACATCTGCTGTGTACGATGTAACCTATTAACAGAAGAATGTCCATGACAAGTGATGTATGATGGTTGAACAAGGTAGCTGAATAAAGGATACACATTCTACTTTTGTTTAAAGAACGGTAAGTGTCTTATTAGTCATTCATAAGATTTCATTTCATTTTGCGTCGGGGTGATGTAAATCAAATTAGGTTTTGCCCTTCACCGACATATAAACACTGTATACTCTCTGTGTTACCTCCCGAGTGAAAGTTGAAAAAAATCACTCCGGTCAAACCCATGACCCTCCTGCTTTCTAGTGCAGATGTCTTACCACTTGACCACCGAGCTAACGGGATCAGTTGGCTGGTTCGAATCTGATGTACATAGCAGCGGGTACTACATTAACTATTCATAAGATGGCAAGACATCTGCAATAGAAAGCAGGAGGTCGTGGGTTCGAGTCCCACCGGAGTGATTTTTTTCCAACTTTCACTCGGGAGGAAACACACTGAGAATACAGTGTTTATACATCGGTGATGGACAAAACCTAATTTGGTTTTATTAGTCAATTGACTCATGTAATTTCAGCAAGCACACACTGCATATGCCTCCATGTTATTTTGGCAAGATGTGTTGCCAACATACTAGTGTGGAAAGACTGTGGTTTCTAAAATAACTAAGATCAAAGTGCTTTACATTATTATTACCCCTGATCATTGGGCCAATGAAACATTGCAAATACAATCTCAGCTTCCTGTGGAATATGGATTTTTATTCACGAGAAAGTCATTTTAGTCATGTTCCCTGACAGTATTTTATAAACTATTGAATAGGATGGTGCCAGACTATTTTTGCATTCTAGCCTCACTTTCAATTTTTATTTTAAATGTGGCTTAAAAACATTAGGGTATGTTTAACAACAAATTTAAATTTTCATTAAAGCAGACTGGTATTAATTTGTAATTAATTTTATGTCACTGCTTTAATTTCTCTTTGCAAGTTCCAAATATGAAGATTTTACCTCGCTTTCAATTTAATATAGTCGACTCCTGAATAAAGCCCATACAGCTCGGTGTAGTCATTTCGACGCAAGGTAGCTAAAATCAATCACAATTGCGATCTCTGTTCTCACAGGTACCCATTTATTCCTGGGTGGGGCGAAGCAATGAGTGACAAAGTGTCTTGCCAAAGGGAACATGCACCATAACCCCAGGCTGGACTCGAACCCACAACCTGTAGAATTACCCACAGACAACGAGTTCAATGCTCCAGACCATGAGGCCAGGGCACTCCACATATTTAGAAATGTTTTGCCAATTCATGCAACAACACAAACACCAGGTAATATAATCTATTTGAAACCCCTGCCCGTTGTCCAAACTGCACACATGTGCATTTATCTTTATTGGTACCTTCAAGGATGTAACTGGGGTCCAAGTTGCTGGAGGGCCCTAAAGGGACCTCAGTTTCTAGTAGGAGGCAGTCTTTGAGCAGAGGGGTCCATGCCCCTCATCCTCCTCCCCTATCATTAGCTATGCCACTGGGCACCTTTGTCAAGTTCATTTAAGATTATAAGGAATCAATGAAGGGAGTTCCTACTTTTCATTGAGGGAGTGAATCTTGGAGCGATCTCTCTCAATCACAGTCTGCATCTCTTCCATCCTGACCCTACGATCCTCCAGCAAGGCTTCCGTCTGCTCTCTAGATAGCTCAGCTTGTTCCTTCATCTGAGATTGTAGAGCTTCAATCTGTAGCAACAGACTCTCTGGCTCTGCCTGCTGCTGGTCTGAATCAGGATGGACAGCTTTGGGCTGGGCGCTGTTGGACTGAAATGAGGATTGGAAAATATTGATGGATGGTAACAGGATCAACCTGCTGGTACAGACTCGGACAAAAGAAACCACCATTTTGGAGATGATCTGATCAATTATCGTGATTGAAGCAACTTTACTGGGATAACGTATGTAACTAAACTCACTTCTCAGGGGAGTAACTACAGGTAATTTCATCAGCTGATCAAGGAATTATCAACACACCTACCAAAAGCTGCAACAGATATATATATTTACTATTAATACTATGAAAGTAAGTAAAGTCTGTCATTAGCCAATACATCTCCGGTTTCAAAGGCATGAAACGACCGAGGATATTTTTTTATCCCCCCTGGATAGGATGCCAGTCCATTGCAGGTTACTTCCCAGCTAATATCGGTACCTATTTATACTCCTGGGTGGAGAGAGGCAAGTGGGGGTGAAGTGGCTTGCCCAAGGACACACATATAACCGGCAACTAGATTCGGACCCCTGACCCTCTGATCATGAGTCACAAACCTTAACCATATTAATGCTTAAAAAAAATTAAAATCCCATAGACCTTATAAATAGTTAATGCGATGCCCGCTGCCATGTACCAATACATCAGATTCGAGCCAGCCAACCGATCCCATTAGCTCAGTGGTCAAGTGGTAAAACATCTGCACTAGAAAGCAGGAGGTTGTGGGTTCGAGTCCCAACCGAGTGATTTTTTCCAACTTTTACTCAGGAGGTAACACACTGAGTATTCAGTGTTTATACATCAATGAAGGGCAAAACCTGATTTGACATACATTGTATTAATACTATGATCCACTAGTTTATCTGACCAACAAATACTAAAAATGGGCCTGATATGGTTGGTATGAGATCTGAGGAGTGTTGGCTTTGCAATGTTTTATCAACCACCCTTTGCCTCAACCATACCGGTATGTAATCTCTACCTACCTTTTGTGTTAGCAGTAACTCTGTGTTGTGCATTCCTCCGTGTTCTGTTGTTCTGTGGTCTGCTTGGCACTTCGGCTTTTAAACCCAATATTTCACCCTCTGGAAAAAAAAAACCAGACATTGCTGGTCGGCCGACCAGCGTTGGAAAAATACCATTTTTTTTAAAAAATGTCAGCACACCAGGAGCCACGATTTTACAGGATGCTTTAGGCTGTCATTCCCTAAAGTTGAAAAAAATCACTCCGGTCGAACCCATGACCTCCTGCTTTCTAGTGCAGATGTCTTACCACTTGACCACCGAGCTAACGGGATCAGTTGGCTGGTTCGAATCTGATGTACATAGCAGCGGGTACTACATTAACTATTCATAAGATGGTAAGACATCTGCAATAGAAAGCAGGAGGTCGTGGGTTCGAGTCCCACCGGAGTGATTTTTTTCCAACTTTCACTCGGGAGGAAACACACTGAGAATACAGTGTTTATACATCGGTGATGGACAAAACCTAATTTGGTTTTATTAGTCAATTGACTCATGTAATTTCAGCAAGCACACACTGCATATGCCTCCATGTTATTTTGGCAAGATGTGTTGCCAATATACTAGTGTGGAAAGACTGTGGTTTCTAAAATAACTAAGATCAAAGTGCTTTACATTATTATTACCCCTGATCATTGGGCCAATGAAACATTGCAAATACAATCTCAGCTTCCTGTGGAATATGGATTTTTATTCACGAGGAAGTCATTTTAGTCATGTTCCCTGACAGTATTTTATAAACTATTGAATAGGATGGTGCCAGACTATTTTTGCATTCTAGCCTCACTTTCAATTTTTATTTTAAATGTGGCTTAAAAACATTAGGGTATGTTTAACAACAAATTTAAATTTTCATTAAAGCAGACTGGTATTAATTTGTAATTAATTTTATGTCACTGCTTTAATTTCTCTTTGCAAGTTCCAAATATGAAGATTTTACCTCGCTTTCAATTTAATATAGTCGACTCCTGAATAAAGCCCATACAGCTCGGTGTAGTCATTTCGACGCAAGGTAGCTAAAATCAATCACAATTGCGATCTCTGTTCTCACAGGTACCCATTTACTCCTGGGTGGGGCGAAGCAATGAGTGACAAAGTGTCTTGCCAAAGGGAACATGCACCATAACCCCAGGCTGGACTCGAACCCACAACCTGTAGAATTACCCACAGACAACGAGTTCAATGCTCCAGACCATGAGGCCAGGGCACTCCACATATTTAGAAATGTTTTGCCAATTCATGCAACAACACAAACACCAGGTAATATAATCTATTTGAAACCCCTGCCCGTTGTCCAAACTGCACACATGTGCATTTATCTTTATTGGTACCTTCAAGGATGTAACTGGGGTCCAAGTTGCTGGAGGGCCCTAAAGGGACCTCAGTTTCTAGTAGGAGGCAGTCTTTGAGCAGAGGGGTCCATGCCCCTCATCCTCCTCCCCTATCATTAGCTATGCCACTGGGCACCTTTGTCAAGTTCATTTAAGATTATAAGGAATCAATGAAGGGAGTTCCTACTTTTCATTGAGGGAGTGAATCTTGGAGCGATCTCTCTCAATCACAGTCTGCATCTCTTCCATCCTGACCCTACGATCCTCCAGCAAGGCTTCCGTCCGCTCTCTAGATAGCTCAGCTTGTTCCTTCATCTGAGATTGTAGAGCTTCAATCTGTAGCAACAGACTCTCTGGCTCTGCCTGCTGCTGGTCTGAATCAGGATAGACAGCTTTGGGCTGGGCGCTGTTGGACTGAAATGAGGATTGGAAAATATTGATGGATGGTAACAGGATCAACCTGCTGGTACAGACTCGGACAAAAGAAACCACCATTTTGGAGATGATCTGATCAATTATCGTGATTGAAGCAACTTTACTGGGATAACGTATGTAACTAATCTTGGAAAGTTCATGGTATGATGAGGCGGCTTTTTTGCCAAACTCACTTCTCAGGGGAGTAACTACAGGTAATTTCATCAGCTGATCAAGGAATTATCAACACACCTACCAAAAGCTGCAACAGATATATATATTTACTATTAATACTATGAAAGTAAGTAAAGTCTGTCATTAGCCAATACATCTCCGGTTTCAAAGGCATGAAACGACCGAGGATATTTTTTTATCCCCCCTGGATAGGATGCCAGTCCATTGCAGGTTACTTCCCAGCTAATATCGGTACCTATTTATACTCCTGGGTGGAGAGAGGCAAGTGGGGGTGAAGTGGCTTGCCCAAGGACACACATATAACCGGCAACTAGATTCGGACCCCTGACCCTCTGATCATGAGTCACAAACCTTAACCATATTAATGCTTAAAAAAAATTAAAATCCCATAGACCTTATAAATAGTTAATGCGATGCCCGCTGCCATGTACCAATACATCAGATTCGAGCCAGCCAACCGATCCCATTAGCTCAGTGGTCAAGTGGTAAAACATCTGCACTAGAAAGCAGGAGGTTGTGGGTTCGAGTCCCAACAGAGTGATTTTTTCCAACTTTTACTCAGGAGGTAACACACTGAGTATTCAGTGTTTATACATCAATGAAGGGCAAAACCTGATTTGACATACATTGTATTAATACTATGATCCACTAGTTTATCTGACCCACAAATACTAAAAATGGGCCTGATATGGTTGGTATGAGATCTGAGGAGTATTGGCTTTGCAATGTTTTATCAACCACCCTTTGCCTCAACCATACCGGTATGTAATCTCTACCTACCTTTTGTGTTAGCAGTAACTCTGTGTTGTGCATTCCTCCGTGTTCTGTTGTTCTGTGGTCTGCTTGGCACTCTGGCTTTTAAACCCCAATATTTCACCCTCTGGAAAAAAAAAACCAGACAGGCAAGTAAGAAGAAAACATGAGACGTCTTGGAAATTACAGGTTACACCTTCATATACCTTTGAAATCTGATGGACAGTGTGTGCAGATATATAATTGTTTGCCAGAATAAAATGCAATGTTCAAAGTTGGGTCAAAAGTCTTCTAATGCCCGACTGTAATTCATTGTAATAAACCAGTTCTGTATTTCAATGACCTGAGGTCATTTGGGATAACATTGCTGACACGATGTTAGGCGATGTTACGCGCACGACCACTCTGGTGGTAATTTACACACAAGCGTCGCGCACCCGCATTCATGCGCCTTTGATCGTTCTACTATCCCGAATGACCGGTGACCCATATCGTTGTGCACATAAGCAGTTGAAATACCGAACTGGCTTATCCATGGCATTCCTTGAGTTGTTTGCTTGTTTGGAAAAGGATGAGACATTTAGGACAACTTGAAGAACTGTTGACACTTAAAATACCCAATACAAGGGAACTTGACTAGGTTTACTCTTAATAATGTTTAAATGGGGGCAGTTCCGCAGTGTCAGACGTACATTTTGGGCAATTCAACAGTGTATGTAATTGTAGTTATAATCACGGGGTAGATTTTAATTCTGATAAAACATATCAGTTAGTCACTAGTTACTTTGATGAGTCAAAGAAGAAATTATTCATCCAACTTTGTTGCTGTAGTAGAAATTGGCTCAAAACACCGGACGTACTCAGACAAATCAATTTTTTGTATTGTCATCAATTGATTTTCCATTGACAAGTAACAGCCAAACTGTTGAACTTGTTAGGGAATGTACAACATTTGCTTTTGCTGCAATGTTCAAAATAAGTGCATCTGGGGGATTAGTGTGCTATAAAAAATATTGTTAAAGGGCATGTACAACATTTGCTTTTGCTGCAATAATCAGAAATAAATGGATTTGGAGGATTAGTATGTTTTAGCAAATATTGTTAAAATGACTTGTTTCACGTTTTGGGCTTGTAGATGTTGGAAAAACCAAGAAAACCATTCATGTTCTTGTAGTCTGGTTCACAGACCCCATTTAAGATGAAACGGAGAATTTATAGACTTTGGGGGATTGTAAGATCAGAGAGGCAGTCTAGTAGGCTTGTACCCCTTCAAAGGTGTGTAATCAATTGCACAGAAAACACAGAATAACTAATTATGAAAAATTAGGAGTAGTTTAAAAAAAAAAAACAGTTTTCTCCATTGCTGGTCGGCCGACCAGCGTTGGAAAAATACCATTTTTTTTTAAAAAATGTCAGCACACCAGGAGCCACGATTTTACAGGATGCTTTAGGCTGTCATTCCCTAACAATCCACTAAGGTATTTAGTGATACTTTGTTCATATCGTTTTGTAATATTTGCCAATGTTGTATCTTCCCTTTAAACTGACCTATTTCACGTTTTGGGTTCGGAAATGCCAGAAAATCTAAGAAATCCAACCATGTTCTTGTGGTCTGGTGACATGAGACGTAAGATGAGACGTAGCACTTTGTACACTTTGAGGAAGTTAGGTCAGAGAATCAGTCTAGCAGGCTTGTACCCCTACACAGATGCGTAATTGATTGCAAAGAAAATGCGGAATGACTAAATATGAAAAGTTAGGAGCAGTTTTTGAAAAAAGCCAGTTTTCTCCAACGATGTTCGGCCGACCAGTGTATGAATAATACAAGGTTTCTTGAAAATGTCAGCACACCAGGAGCCACGATTTTACAGGATGCTTTAGACTGTCATTCACTGACAGTCCAGTAATATATTTCGTCATAATTTGATCATTTCGTTTTTTGATGTTTGCAATGATGTTGTATCTTCCCTTTTAAATAAACTACATGTCAATAAAATACAGATAATATGCTTCAAATTGATATGTATATTTCTTTTGTGGCATTTTGGCCATTAAGAATTGTTGGCATTCAGGTTTATAATTCTGTAGAATTGCCCATGGATGGGCGAGGGAATTGATTAACAAATTTTGGCCAAGGACATTGACAAATATGAGTCTGCAGCCCCGTTGGTAGAGTTGCCAGTGCGGTGTTACACACTGACCTGCATGTGGATGTCTCTTTTGTGGGTGTTTCTGTGTGACAATTGCCCGCGTTGATGGTTCTTTGTGGAAGTATGTCACTTCAGGACCTGATGGGCTTGATAATGATAACAGATGCTGGATTCTGTCAAGTACAAATCAAATCATTGGAAAAGTTCAAGTTAGTACACCTTTGGTAAATCCAAACTAACAGGGTTTGTTTACTTCCATATCACATTATACGTGTAACTGATTGTACATGTGGGGTATTAAAGCAGCACCAACATTCATACATGTTCATGAATGCATCATCTCTAAACATACTTTTGCACTAGTGTGGAACAAATTGCAATTGCTTAGTCTAGACAAGGGTTGTGCAAAATATACCGAATATCCAAATATTTGATCATCCACCGAATATCCGAATAGCATTTTATCAAATTGAATTGTTTTTTTAATGTGAGCAATGACAAAAAAACGTCCATGATGTGATTTTATGAGTTTAAGTTGAGAGATTTGATTTGTTTAGTCAAACGCCACACTTTACGCAGATGGTTTGAGAGTTTTCATGAGGAATGTAAGCCCTAATGTGGATCTTCAATATCTGCCAAATGCCAGGTTGTCAGCTAGCTCAAAATCTATATCGATACATTCCAAATTATTTCAATGTCATTGGATGATTTTTTTGTTCAAATTCAAGTTCCAATATTCAAAGACTAAATTATTGGAAAAATGCACAACATTAATAGAGACCTGTTTTGTGAAGCACACCTAGAGAGAACTTGAAGCTCTACCCAGCCCTGCAAACAATGACCTGTACTCTGCCCGCAAGGTTGTCAGTCCGTCATTGCCAATCAAAGAATCCTCCCCAACAGTCACCATCCATCTGCACAACATACAGATTACAGGTACAATGTATATATACATGTACATGGATTCAATTCAGCCTCAGGACAGGCAGTAGCACTGCTATTGTGACAAGGTTTTTGCAGTCGCTTTGCCAACCAACCTCTTTGTCGACAACCACTTCAACGATTTGCTACTTCACCGAATAACCACTTCGCCTACTTGCCACTCCGTCGAATTACCACTTCGCTGCACGCAAACGCACGTACTAACAAGTTTGTTATGGTGTAAATCAAGGATTTTCTAATGTTTCTCTTCCCTTTCCTTTGTTTATACTCTGAACATTTTTGCATCTGCTCTCATTGGTTTAGTACACGTTTTCTAATCGAACTCGTCTTCCATTTACAATTCATTGATGACGTTGCATGTGTGTGTCCTTGATTTACACCATAAAGAAATGCCTACAGACACGTACATGTATGTATGGAGCCATAAAAATGAGTTACATGAAAAACTTGGGGTTGTTTTACCCCTTCCTATCCAAACCCATATGAGATTCAACTTTTTTCATTCTATAGTCAACTTGAAACAGTACTGAAGGGGATGAAGATTTAAAAAGAAAAAAAAAAAAAGTTTCTGAGAATTAACTGTGTGCGACCAAAAACATGGTCACCGTGTACGGACAGTCAATGATTAATATATTTTATAAATTCCACTTCTTCACTTTCAAAGTGAATTGAGAGGACAATGTCACATAAACCTAGTAAAAGAAGACACAACAAGTATGAAAACCACTTAATATTAAGTACCAGTCAGCTGTTATAATTACCATGAGTTTGTGCATGCGAGCATAATGTGTTAGCAAATACTTTCGGCGAAGTGGTAATTGGGCAAAGCAGTAATTTGGCTAAGTGGTAATTTGGCTGGTTTCGATCCAACTCGGACCCAAACCAAGTCGGACCCAAGCCAACTCGGACCCAGGCCAACTCGGACCCACTACCAACTCGGACCCACGCCAACTCAATCGGACCCACTACCAACTCGGATCCACAACCAACTCGGACCCACTACCAACTCGGACCCATGCATGACCAACTCGGACTCATCTTTTACAATCATTTGACAGCGTTTACAATTATTTGACAATTTCATAAAGTTTGTCCACTTATCATCTGTTAATACAGTGATGTTTTTAAGTATAAACAGTCACCATCCATCTGCACAACATACAGATTACAGGTACATGTACATGGATTCAATTCAGCCTCAGGACAGGCAGTAGCACTGCTATTGTGACAAGGTTTTTGCAGTCGCTTTGCCAACCAACCTCTTTGTCGACAACCACTTCAACGATTTGCTACTTCACCGAATAACCACTTCGCCTACTTGCCACTCCGTCGAATTACCACTTCGCTGAATGACCACTTCGCCGAATTGCACGCAAACGCACGTACTAACAAGTTTGTTATGGTGTAAATCAAGGATTTTCTAATGTTTCTCTTCCCTTTCCTTTGTTTATACTCTGAACATTTTTGCATCTGCTCTCATTGGTTTAGTACACGTTTTCTAATCAAACTCGTCTTCCATTTACAATTCACTGATGATGTTGCATGTGTGTGTCCTTGATTTACACCATAAAGAAATGCCTACAGACACGTACATGTATGTATGGAGCCATAAAAACGAGCTACATGAAAAACTTGGGGTTGTTTTACCCCTTCCTATCCAAACCCATATGAGATTCAACTTTTTTCATTCTATAGTCAACTTGAAACAGTACTGAAGGGGATGAAGATTTAAAAAGAAAAAAAAAAAGTTTCAGAATTAACTGTGTGCGACCAAAAACATGGTCACCGTGTACGGACAGTCAATGATTAATATATTTTATAAATTCCACTTCTGCACTTTCAAAGTGAATTGAGAGGACAATGTCACATAAACCTAGTAATAGAAGACACAACAAGTATGAAAACCACTTAATATTAAGTACCAGTCAGCTGTTATAATTACCATGAGTTTGTGCATGCGAGCATAATGTGTTAGCAAATACTTTCGGCGAAGTGGTAATTGGGCAAAGCAGTAATTTGGCTAAGTGGTAATTTGGCTGGTTTCGATCCAACTCGGACCCAAACCAAGTCGGACCCAAGCCAACTCGGACCCAGGCCAACTCGGACCCACTACCAACTCGGACCCACGCCAACTCAATCGGACCCACTACCAACTCGGATCCACAACCAACTCGGACCCACTACCAACTCAGACCCATGCATGACCAACTCGGACTTTTACAATTATTTGACAATTTCATAAAGTTTGTCCACTTATCATCTGTTAATACAGTGATGCTTTTAAGTATAAATTTTCATTGTAGTTGTCAGGTAAAATATCTGTATTGCAGCAGTTTGTCGTCGTAAAGCGCATTGAAATGCTTTTTTGAAATGCGCTTTAAAAGTGTAATTAATTATTTATTTTTATTATTTGTTTCCATTGAAACATATTGCGCTTTAACCAAAAGTAAAATTTAAAATTAAAGTTTAACCAATTATTCATTTTCATATTTGACATCGTTCACGCCATCTTGCTCAATTTAACAGCAATTCATTTCATTTTTAATTCAAACCACATAAATTCAAAACAGATCTTCATAGAAAAATAAAATTGGAAAGTATGACATTGAAACATAAACACTTTCAAACATGACACGATTAATTCAATAAATATAAGTAAACATTATAAGTCATTCAATAAAATAAATAAAGTATAAAACAAAGTCTATTCTAATTTCTACATGTACATTTGTATATGTATTTAACAAAAAAACCCACATAAACACCATTGCATACACTGCAAGAAAAACGAAGGTTCCATATTGAACAAAAAAGGTTAATCAAAAAAGTAAGTTACACAGATTCGTTAAAAAACCCACAAAACTCAAAGCCAGCATGTGAACTAAAAAAAAGATCAACTTATTAAATACCCTACAATTATGAAATGTCAATCATCAAAAAGGAGTATTGGAGCTCTGGGAAGATTATCCTTCAAGGCCTTACAGGTACATTAGCTGTCTGTATGTTCGACTATGATGTTCCATGGGGGAAAAAAGTTAATCAAAAAAGTATAAAAAGTTAAACAGATTCGTAAAAAAAAAAAAAAATTAAACAAACTAACAATTACATGAAATGAAAGGTCTACATGTATTTCAAATTAATAACTTCCTCACTGAACAACATTTTTGTGACATATTGAAATCCTTCATTGAGTGTGATTTAATTTGGTTTATATTATTTGCAGGGTTGTAGTTGAGACCGCATAGTCCGAGACCGAGACCGAGACCAGCCCCTTCAAGGCGGAGACCAATATGGTCCGAGACCGAGACCGAGACCAAGACCGCTGATAATAAATAACAATAGTCGAAATAAAAAAACAAGACACGTTATTATAGTTGAAACTTGTAACCTTTCTATTCACAAAGATTACAGACCAAAATTTTGACCAGTGGCAGTGTTGACAAATTGATACATGACACGTTACTTGAGCAAAAAGTAGTTATACTTAAGAAATATAATGGGCTGCACCCAATCTTGACAAAAGTAAAAGTTAAAGGTAGATGTTTCATCTGTTATAGGAACTCGGATCCTAAACTCCACAGTCACCCCTTGGTTTCAGCTATGACTTCTAACGGATATTTAAAGATGCAATTTTAATTTTACATTGTGCCTCTTTTTTTCCTTAAATAAATATAGGACTTAACTTCTAACAAGACTTGTGTACATGTACTTGATTTTAAAAAATGGGAGCTAGAAAATGTTGAATCAATTTTTAAATTTCTGTCATAGAATGTGGACTTGTACATGTAGACCCACAAGTTGTGAGGTGGTAGCCAGTATGTGCCAGATATGGATTTTTAATTTTTTTCTGAACGGGATTTTAATTTTTGAGGAATAATGGGGTACTTCAAACTGAGCAGCCAGAAAATGGGGTCTCATCATACACTCTCATGGCAACAGTGAGTGGTAACTGGTAAGAGTGTGTGAGTTCAATGCTGGAAAATCAGGTTGAAATATTTACTTTTTCTTCAAAATACTGTCCCAAATTAAAGAGATCATTGTGTGGGGTCGAAAATATATAACTAATTTGAAGCACCTCATTTATTATCAGAATACAAAATGCAAGTGATTACGCCCACAGGGGTGGGCTAAACTACACAATCCCCAAAAATGGTTGACCCTTATTGTATAAATTGTTAGAAGTTTATACTTTGCTTTATGTGCCCGACTCAACAGATAAATGCCGAACTTGTTCCAAATCGTTCAGTGACTGGAACTGCTGCAGCTTTACATGTACTTTGGAGACTTTCCAACGTGCTGTCAAGTCCAAACCGACCGCGATATATAACAAGCTTGATCTACGGGCTAGCAAATGTTTTAACTATTAATTGTACTGAACGAAGTAAACAAAAAGTAATCGATCAAGCTGTAAAAGCTACATATTGCCGGTCTCAACCCGAGACGAGCCAAAATATCGAGACCAAAGGGGACCTAGCCCCATAAATGTGGCCTATTTACTGGACTGCCTCCGTAAACATAGGCCACACATCCACATGTACAAAAATCTTGATTTTCACATTTAGGCTTAGTTTGTAGGTTTTTTTTGCTTTAGAAGCATACTCACCCTCTTTACAGGCTAATCAGAAAGTGCTGCCTTTTTCAGATGTCTAATTTTTGTGAAATTTCATTTTGAAATTTTGATACACAAACGTGTAAAAATGAATCTGGAAATTTCACGAAAAATATACATCTGAAAAAGGCAGCACTTTCTGATTAGCCTATAAAGAAGGTGAGTATACTTCTAAAGCAAAAAAACCCTACAAACTAAGCCTAAATGTGAAAATCAAAATTTGGCTCCGTCGACACGATTTTTGTACATGTGGATGTGTGGCCTATGTTTACGGAGGCAGTCCAGTAAATAGGCCACATTTATGGGGCTAAAGGGGACCAAGACCGAGACCAAGACCGAGACCACAGCTTCCGAGACCGAGACCAAGACCAGCAAAAAGTGGTCTCGAGACCGGTCTCGAGACCTACAACACTGATTATTTGGCACACACCCACAAAAAGCAGATGAAAAAGGAAAACATTGCACATATCCATTTCTTCATGTGAATGAGTAATAAGAGTGCAAAATCAATGTAGTATAATCAAACAACAAAACTAAAAGCCCCATTCTGACCAATATAATTACCGAATATCTTCACTATATAAGCACTATTAAGATGACCTACATGTATAAATATAATCTCTGAAACTAATGATTAAGTCATTGTTGGGTCTGAGTTGGTCGTGCTTGGGTCCGAGTTGGTAGTGGGTCCGAGTTGGTCTTGGGTCCGAGTTGGTAGTGGGTCCGAGTTGGTAGTGGGTCCGAGTTGGCGTGGGTCCAACTTGGCATGGGTCCGACTTGGTTTGGGTCCGAGTTGACCTGATGCCATTTGGCTAAGTGGTTATTCGGCGAAGTGGTAATTCAGCAAAGTGACCAACACCCGTGACAAGCTCAACACACTAATCCAGATCAGCTAATCACTATGATCCATGCAGTGCAGAACATTAGCTGAGAGCCTTAGTCAAGACTTAAAACATCTTCATCAGACAATCCCACGCACCTTTTTCTATCTTCCAGTTCTTGTATCTTCAGGCGGTCATTTTCAGCAAAGAGCCTTAAGACATGATCTCTCTCCTGGAAGAGATAAACCTGCATGTCACTCAGGGCCTTCTGGAGCTCAGCGATTTCTTCCTCACGTTGGCGTAACTCCCATTCAAGCTTATGCTAAACAACAAAGAAAGGGACAAGTATTGTTGTGCTACATGTGACTATGATTTGCAAGTTTATGAGTTGTTCCATTGGAGTAGTGGTAATTTGTACATGTACACACACTGACATAATAATAACCAGAGAAATTTGAAAAAAAAAACAGTATTGTGATTGAAAACATTGGACTATTATTCAAAGTGTTTATTTGAAATCTTATATTTCCCTTTACTTCCTTAATCCAATAACACTTTTACAAAAAGTAACAAATGATGTCACTGTAAAACCTGGTCTTGAAATTGGTTTAAAAAAACCCATTTTCTAACATCTAAGGGGAAAAGATACTATAAAGACCAGGGACAACATTACCCATGCAACTACATGTACGGGGTCTTGACTGATTGATAGATTGCTGTCGTCTTGGATATGTGTCAGAGCAAAACGGGGAATTTTTGTGGGTCATTTTTGGCAGAGTTGGGACAAACTTGACCTATTTAGTTTGTGTACATGTAGGTTACTCAGTATGTAAAGAATGTAAAGAAGCGGAGGCTGATTCCAGAAGTAATGTCATAGATAGAGGGCAGGCTTTTGATTTTTTAAGGGAAATTTGGGGGTAAAATGATGATGACAGAACGGCGACAACAAGCTTCCCAAAAATAAAGATGGCAATCACCACGCAATGTACCGTGCGATCATGTACCATGAGTCTGAGCATGCATGGCGCGCTGAATCGCAAGGCCCAAACAGCACAGTAAATTTTAGTCCAAAATTTGGGACTCTCAATACTGTGTATGAGAGAGTCCCAAAACTTAAGGTATCCATATCGTGCAAAAGTTTGTGCTGCATAATAAAACCAGTGTGAATCAAATTTGCAAGCTTCTTACTCACTACAGTTTCTTCAATAATCCCCCAAACTTCTGCCTCGCAAAGTTGCTGTTGTGAGCATTGCATCACCAAAAATTCAGCTTTTAATTCTAATTTTGCAGAGAGTTATCGAAATCCTAGCCCGACTGCGTCTGGCCGTACAGTACTATCGCAAGCTCTGTAGTACGGCCAGACGCCCAATGCTTCCACAGAGACTGAATTTTTTTGGCCGCTGATGTAGCGATTTTGCTACAGATTTCGATCAAGATTATCTTTTCATCCAGGACACAAATTCCAAAGTTAAGGTTCTTAGTCGTAGAGCAACTCATACCTTTTCGAAAAAACGTTCTTTTGTCTCAATATTTTCATCCATCTGGCCAAAAGCCGACTTTTCAGTCATCATCTTCCACAAACATCGTCCCGAAAATGCTCCCCCATGCGATTTCAAAATGGCGGCCGCGCTGTAATGTATGCATTATGCGAGCGCGCTTGGGCAAGATAATGAATATGCATTATTTAGTTCATGACCTCGTGTTTGTATGGCCAGCCGCGCCGAGTGTCCGACAAACGTCATAAACTATGATGCATATTCATTACCTTGCCCAAGCGCACTCGCATAATGCATACATTACAGCGCGGCCGCCATTTTGAAATCGCAAGGGGGAGCATTTTCGGGACGATATTTGTGGAAGATGACTGAAAAGTCGGCTTTTGGCCAGATGGATGAAAATATTGAGACAAAAGAACGTTTTTTCGAAAAGGTATGAGTTGCTCTACGACTAAGAACCTTAACTTTGGAAATTTGTGTCCTGGATGAAAAGATAATCTCGATCGAAATCTGTAGCAAAATCGCTACATCAGCGGCCAAAAAAATTCAGCCTCTGTGGAAGCATTGGGCGTCTGGCCGTACTACAGAGCTTGCGATAGTACTGTACGGCAAGACGCAGTCGGGCTATCGAAATCCATACGTGAGACATCACGTTGATGTGTACTGCAATGCATTGTGCAAAAAGACTCCTCAGCTATAACATTATTATCGTGTAGATAAAACAGCGCCCTCTTGTTGATCTGAGTGAATGCAAAATGTTTCATTTTTTAACAGAGGGCGCTATGTTCATTTGGCCATCGAATAAAAAACAAGTTAGCTGCAAGGCTCTACATACACCGGGGGTCAGACAAGACGACCGTTGAGACAACTCGACTCGGGACAAGTCACCCGTTGAGACAACTCGACCGTTGAGACAACTCGACCGTATGTGCGATAAATGGAAAGACAAGTCGACCGTTGAGACAAGTCGCCGCGCATGTTTTTTGGGCCTAGTTTAGGGGATAGTACAAAGGGGATTTTGACGGCAGCTTATCACACGTTTTTAGTTATGACACATAATAAGTGGCAGCCGATATAGCAAAGCATGATTGTCCTTGCACATCGTTCGAATTATGACTTATGTGGCGGCATTATGACTTATGTGGCGGCCGCCACTTATTATCTGGCGGCGTAATAAGTGGCGGCTGCTGTACAAAAAAAATATTCACACTCATTGAGTGGCACTCTCCGTCTTCCGTACTATCCCATTGAGTGGCACTCTCCGTCTTCCGTACTATCCGTCTTCACGGTAACTTTTTAATCTCAATTTACCATTTGGCCGATCGTGAGCAGGGGAGCATTATTGCCGTACCCCCCCCCCCCCCATCAAATTAATAGCAATCTGGCTTCGCACCTCTTTTTCCTTTCTTTTCTCCCCTTTTCCCACCTTTTTTTCGTTTTCCGGGGGGGGGGGGCGAGCGCCTCCCCCTTTCTCCCTCCCCTTTGCGACGCCCATGGAGAGGGAGAGGTTAATGGGCGGGGGCCCACTGACGATCGGAGGCGCTGTTCAAAGTAAGTACCTCGCTTGTACCCCGGCCCGCCCTGCAAACAGGACGCTAGGATACTCTGATGAATTCACACTCTGATTGGTTGGATTTTGCGTGACCTGTGATCTGCGCGTCATCACGGTCATGATTCTGCCATAGACATATAATAATATATTATATGTCTATGGATTCTGCAAAGTTTGAAACGCAGCCGTTAAGATTTGACTCATTACTTTTTTTTTTCCAGCTTAGAGATGTTTGTTTTTCGTTGAAAATGCGTAATAATGTAGGAAGTTCTGTAAAACTGTTCCCGGCACTTTCCCGGGCTCCGTTTCGAATTACGAACGGTCGGATTGGATTATGCGACGCTCAAAATTGTGTCCACATGGGCCGCAATGAAACAGAATTGAAATCACATCCAGTATGGAACGTGTGCATTTCTATAGAAAGTTTTCGGGTAGCATTTGCGTACATTGTACGACTGCGGTCTTGAACAGCTGCAGCAAGATGCTTTATACATAGGTCATAGGCCACTTCCTTCACAAGATTCTGTGAAGCTCATCAGAGTGGCCCAGCGTCCTGATTGCAGGGCGGGGGTACGAACGAAGTACGCGATCTTAGACACTATTGAACAATAGGTGGCGTTCTTAGTCGCGGCATATTTTGCCGACGACTTTGCCGCTTGCACGCGGACAGCGGGACGACGATTTCACCACGCGGCGGCGGCGGCAGGGGAGGGGGTGACACCCTAAGGTCCCGCCTCTAGCGACGCCAGCGTGATGAGCTCTAGCTTGTAGTTGATTTGGTTGTTTGCTGACTGAGGCTAGTAACCCCATGCAACGACGCTACAAAAAGATATTTCTTGCCTCACTGAATTCGCTTGCGCCGTACTATGCCAACTGTGAAGTTTTAAAAAGTGTGTTATACTGACTGGGGGCCTATGGTTGGTGACATTGTTGATATTTTTGCCTCACCTATTTGAAACATGTTAGGCCTATATTTTATTCTGTGGCGGGAGAAACGTCATTTTGTATATGTAACGGTGTTTTGTCTCCTGTTGACATTTTATCTATTCCGTTGTTTCTCCTTTTTTTTCTTACTTAGGCCTAATTAAGGAAACGAAAGCGCCAGTAACACACAGTTGCTATTTTTGAAGAAATAATCTCAACCACATTTTATCATGTTAACCCTGAACTATAAAAACAAAAAAAAACAGGCCAAAGTTGTTAGAAATATTGGTTTGTCCCTCGCCCCTCCCAAAACCTGGATTATATTCTGTGCATTTTGGGCATTCGGTGAAAGTAAAAGATAAAAGAAAGCTCCCAAAATCCAAACACGTATGGGTGCCCAGCAGACATTGGGTGTGTATGTGTTGGGGGGGGGGGGTGCGCACTGGACCCGATGAACCCCTCTCCTGATCCTGGTAATAATAAATTGACCAAAGCTTTGCGCGGCTGTAGGGTAGAGTATTGCTCCAATTATTTTCTGTTTCGCCTTTGCTCAGTATCCTTAACACCGAATGTTGAACCGGTGATAAGGCCAAAAAAAAAAAATAAGTCGGTCTCTGGTCAGCGCGCGCGTCGATTTTAATCATGCGCGTCGATCTTTTTTTTTCCAAAATGTTCCGCGGTAGCTCCAACAGCGCCCTCTATTTCCGCACCTCCTCATTTTTTTTTACCAAAGAGCACCAAGGAATGGGAAATTGCACCAAGGCAAATGATCGAAAGCACCAAGGCAAATTATGGAGGACACCAATGTACTTGAGGACACCAAAAAAGCAAAATAGTACCTACCTTGTCTGTACAATCCGAGCTTGAAGAAGAAAAAAAAAAAAAAAAAAAAAATCCGCGTGGCCGCGTCAATTCAGGAACTTTGGTCTGACCAGAGACCGATTTTTTTTTTTTTGGCCTAATATGATCATTTTACTTCTCCCGATACCAGGAATTAATGAGCATTATAGAAATCTTCCATGGATCCAACTGCGTCATGGCCCTCGTTATGCATCAGAATGCCCTTCTGTAATTCGCCCATGCATAACTTATTATAGTCTACACTTTGTCCGAGTTATCGAGATCTAAATTCGCAGATGTAAAGTCACATTCCATTAAATGCTGCCAGCCGCGTCTTGGTTTTTCTTTTATGAATCAAATTAAGTGCGTTTTGTTCGGGCAGCAGAAAATAGGCCTGTGGTGTAAACGGGTGACTACACACAGGTGATTCTATGAATAAGCAACGATCGACTATTTCCTCCCCGTAGACGCGTGCGCGGAAGAATCGGGTGCTGTTGTTTTTTTCGTTGAAATATGCAGCCCCTGTCTGTGTAGGATATATACGGAGGTTTTAAGTATTTTTTTCGTAACAGAATCAGTGTTCAAGATGTATTCCTGCTGGTGAGTATTTGGCATGTATGCCTACCTGTGTGTGCTTTGATATTTTCGGTTTGTTGTGTGTGAGTGCGCTTGGGGGGGAGTTTGGGTGTGTGTGTGTGTGTGTGTGTGTTAATATTTTTTCGGGGGGGGGGGGTTGGTTTGGGACACGAACTCCAAACGCGGGAAACGCCATCTTGGATCTGAGTATGAAATCTTTGCTCTACACATGTTTATTATTAAATTTAACAAGTTTTTCAACGAGCATCACTCAGAATTTCCTAAACGCAGTTAAAATACATGTCATTGCAAAAATGTTTAAAAGGCATGAATCTGGGGCTGAAAAACATTTCCAGTTTATTTTGTTGAAAAATACTTTGAAAATGCACTTGACTCTAGCTCCATAGACATTTTACACAATTCAGAAGTGGCGTCTGGATCCTGTCTTTCTGATTTGGACATTGTAAACCAAATACATGTAACATCAATTTAATATATAAAAAAAAATACTTTTGAACTGCACTGGAGGAGAATCCATGCAGCTGTGAGCAGAAATTCTGGTAATCCTTACCTTTAGGACCCCGTTGCTACATAAGGTTAAAAGACTCGCCAAAACAACTGAATAAATGACACTCAAAAGTGACATTCTGATATTTCTTGACACAAACGAACAGTTGGCAATGATACCTTCTTGAATATCAGCAGGTTTAATTTTGAAGAACGGGGGGCAGGGCTTTGATTTATGAGAGGTTAAAGACGACGATGACAAACAGGAAATATATTTTTAAAAAACAAGATGGCGAACTGCGAAAAACGGTAGGAAAGTCACATTTTCTTTGAACGTGCTTTCAAAATTACAACTAACATGAATTTATCTGAAGAAAAAAGACTGCTTCAGCCTGCAAAAGTCACTTTGGTGCTGGACAGTCATCTGCAAAAGTCAGTTTTGAATAGAACTCTTAAAAATTCGCGTGTCCTTCAAGATAAGTATTACCGAAATTCTGTTTAGGCCTTCATGTTTGGGACATCCCCATAAAAAAGTGGCTCAAAATTACTGGACTTCCGTATTGTGAGGAAGTTTATTGAACCATTGGTGCAGATCAGTAAATAGGCCCAAAATTGCATACGCCGGCCAAATCACGATTTGCATGCCCTCAAATTCTCCGG